GCCAATGAGCTTAATGAATACCTAGGTTCCAATGAGCTGTGGGACAGAGGTGCGGAATCTTGTGTGCTGCCGTGCGTCTTGCTGTTTATCTGGTTAAGACACTGCTTGGGATTCCTGTAGCCCTTACTGGAGTTCTAGCTTCAGTGTCAGCTATTCTGCTTCAGTTCCAGCCTCTCTCGCTCTGTCGGGGAGTTTCTGTCACTCAGCCTTTCTCATCAATCATTTAATCAATAAAGAAATAAAGACATTTGGCTTCAGGACTAAATGAAGGGTCACAGTTTCAACAAATATTCACATAAATGTCATCGAAATATTTGCTCATGTGTCTATAGGATACAGCACTTACAGAATCACCAATTATCCCATGTGTAGTTCCTGTGCTACATCTGTCCTCCTAATCGTAGCTGGGGCTTTGCACAAAATTCCACATATTGTCCCTGTAAATCACCATACTTTTGGAGGTAACTGATGAAGAAGGAGATAATGGCGACCATTGAAAATGAAAAATGAAGGATACCTAAGAAGAACAAAATGTTTACTACATGATTCCAGAAACAGGAAACGAAACAATGTAAGGCGTACAATTCATGAACGATGTAACTCCCATGTTACTCCCTTCACATTCGCTCCCATTGCCTTTCAAATAAAAGAAAAACAGCAGACAAATCATTTTATGAATTCATATCAGAAAATGAAGTTTGAATGAGATATAAAACTTATAAAAGAGGACCAAAACAAATCTTGTCTCTTTGTCTCTCATTCTTTGTAACTCTTATTCAAACAAATAAGTATGTATACTTATCAAAAAAAATAGAGTGGAATGACACATTGAAAACAAGCAAAAGTTAAAATCTACCAAATAAAATTCAAATGCTTGACAAACTGATCCTTCAATAATGAGGAAGAAATGGTGACTTTACAAAATAAACAAAAGCTAAGGAATTTCATCAACCCAAAATCAATCAAAAAAGAAATTCCAGTTTCTGGAATTTCAAAAAATTTTCAGTTGAAATTAAAAAAAAATTATCTATATGAATTATCTGGAATTTCAAAAAATTTTCAGTTGAAATAAAAAATATCTACATGAATAAAGCATAATGAAGAATAACTCTTACCTTAAAAGTAAAAAATGCTATCGAATTCAAAATAGCCTAGAACTGTGATGATTTGACTTAAACTATGTTTAATTCACATACAAAATATCAGACAGTGAAGGGGTTGATGCACTGACTTAACAAGCCAATCCTCTGTCGGCAATGCCAGCACCAAAATATGAATTCCTGTAGGTGTCCAGGATGTTCCACTTCCAATCCAGCTCTCGGCCCATGGCCTGGGAAGGTGGCAGGGGATGGCCAGCGCCTTCAGAGACTGCGCTTAGAGCTCGGCCCTGGCCATCGCCTTTGGTGGGTGAACCGATGTGTGGAAGATCTTCTGTCTCTGCTCTTTCTGTAAAAATCTGCCTGTCAAATAAAATTAATAATAATGACAATTTAAATGAAGGAGGTTTGTTCTATTAAACGGTATTTAAAAGTATAACAACTAGTGTCATTACATGATCTGTGTTTTTATACAGATTTGGGGCAATGTCCATGCAATCAAGATATTATATGATACAGTTTTCCCAAAGTAAATTACAAGGTAGGACAAAGCACTGAAGGTGTTGATTAGAAGTCCTATGTGCTGTTCAGACACTTGGGTTGGAATTCCAGTTCCGGTTCAAGCTGCTTCCTGCAGTGCATCCTGAAGGCAGCGGACAATGTCTCAGGTGGTAAGAATCTAAACACAGTTGCATAGACAACTTGCCTTTCAGAGTTGCAAGGAAACACTGCAATACATATAATTTGAAACATACTGAGGTACCTACAAAATTCCTCAAAGAAAACAGAATGCCACCAATTTGTTAAAGTGGTAAATTGTGTAATTAATTAGCCTGAGACTACTTTCAGAACACAAAACAGAAGTGATTAATTTTATATCATCAGAACTTATCCAGATTTGATTGTGATTGCTTAATGACTGACTTGAATTAATATTTATACATTATTCTGGTATAGAAATAACCAAAATATTGTTTTGTGAAGATTTCCTTTATCCAAACTTTTAATATTGATGAATAAATGAACATAATTCTTATAAATTATGTTTGTATGCTGTATGCTTAGATCATGTTAAAAACAACTGATATTTTACTAGGCATTTTCATTTCAGCTAAAGATGCTTACTTCCCATATTGAGAAAAAAAAAAACCCTTTCACAAATATTTGTGAAAGTATGAAAATCTCTCTCTCTCTTTTTTCTTTTTTTTTTCTTTTTTTTTTTTTTTTTTGCAACATGTTGCTGCAATGGTGGGAGCAGAATGGATCTGAAGCCAGAAGCCAGAAGTTTCTTCTGGGTCTCCCAAACAGATTCAATGTTACAAGGCTTGGAGCTGTCATAGATTGCTTTCCCAGGCCACAGCCTGGGAGCTGCAAGGAAAGTGGAGCAGCCGAGACATGAGCTAGAACCTATGTGAGATCTCAGTATGAGCAAGGCAAGGACTTTAACGATTAGGGCACCGGATCCCAAAATCCTGTTTTTAAATACATTATTGAAGTAAATAGGTATCAATGTATACACAGGTAGAAAATGAAATGTCTTTTTGATGGCCAACAATAATAAAAATCATAATTATTATTATTAGCAGGAGTAAATAGTGAAATCATATATTTTTCTGTAATCTTATCACAAATCCCTTGGTAGCATGGGGTTTAAGTATATTGACTTGCATTTGTAACTAATAATGGAAGATAATGAAATTGAGAATAAGAGTTACAAAATGCATCTAAACAAATTTCCAGATAGGGAAATATCAAATCTACTGAAAAAAAATGTTTAAATTCAATTAATTTTAATTGAAGATACAGCAAAGATAAATTCATAAAAGTAATATATATACAAACAAGAAAATAGTAAGTATTGTAATATACGCTTAAAATATCTGTCCATTCTATATGAAGTATCATGCTTCAAAAGTGGAAACAGAATATTGGAAATTGAAAAATTTTAAAAAGTGCATTGTAATTTTACAAAAAAATTAGCATTAAGAAGCAAACCAAGCAAACACAATATGATTTCAGTAAGCAAATTTATTTTTTGATAGAGATAGCGAAGAGAGAAATGATGAGTTTGTCGTCAAGGAAATGCTGTGGCTGATGGCAGGACTCTGCACATCATTGCTACTCTTTCCACATGCACACATGCTTCCAACAAACTTAAAATTTCTGAACATACTCTAGCCATACTGTACCTCAGTGGAGGTGATTTTTTCTAGTTGAGTTTTTAAAAGCAAACACAATCTGAGCCACAAAAACTTCTTACCACGTTAAGGACTTAGTATCTTTCTGTTTGCAAATAATTCAACAAGGATCCTGCTGGTTAATTTTCTAAGTTGTTACAATAACATTAAAATGAAAAGAAATAATACAGAATAATAATAAAATAAAAATAGTAACATATAATGCTAGGAAGCATAGAATAAATGCTGATTCTCTACTCTCCTGTCAGTTCATAGAAATGTTCTGCTCAGTGATAGCTGATGTCTCAGTACGTTTGTAATGATTTTCAAGCCAATGTTATGACTCCTTTTTTAGAACTCTATCCCTAAGTCAGACCACAAGACCAGCTTATTGCTATTAAAAACGAAGTGGTTTTTAAAAATTCTCAGAGCCTAAATTTTATTTAAATAATGTTTTATAATAGAAGTAAATGTTTATTGAAATCACTCAAATTGGTAGTCATATTCTAATAGTCATATTTTAATAACAGGGCAATCATTTATTCATTTTGAAACAGCCCTTTCAATGTATGCTACACATTATGGTAAATTTACCTTGGAGAAAAAAAAGATGTAAATTTGTGATCATGACATCATGTAACTGTCGTTTCCAAATAATAAGCAAACAGAAAATGACAACTGTAGATGTAATTTAAAAAAAACTGAAGATGAGAATTTCCATAATGGAACAATTATACCACTTTTTAGGTGACAGTTTCTGTATGATACATTTGCTTATGAAGTATTCTTTATAAAATATGACTTAGCAAAAGCAATTGTACATTTATCAGATGGTCTATAAATTATATCCTGTTTCTGTATATGAAGAGCAAGCAAAACAATAGAGAGCAGAATGGTACCACTATGAATCTAGTATTTAAATGTAACTAGGGCTGTGCTCAAAACTCTATCTCTATAGAGGCAAAGTTAAATATAAAATCTCATATGTAATTACACTTGTCATCAATTTTCCCATTTATTCCACATCCCAGTAAGTTTTCATTAGTTCTATTCTGACGAGATACTACTTCTGAAACTGAAAGTGTCAGAACTAGTGACCTAACCATCAAAGCCTCTCCATTAACCCACTCAGATTAGTCAAAGAGTAATCAAGCAAAACCTTTCCAAAGTATCAAGCAGAAGAATATTTGCCAATAATCAAAATTCTGGAGCTACCAGATGATGATTATCTCAATTGTTATTCAACAGTACATATGAGAATAGAAACAATAATAAAACAATTTACGTTATACATTCCTTTGAGAAATGTTTAAATTTCTATTTTTAACCATTACAAATTTCAATACATAAGATTTATTTCAATTACCCCATTTCAGAAAAATTTAAAGCTGCTGCTTTCCCATTGTGTATGTGAACCTGTGATTTCTGAGATGAGTTCATATTTACCAGCAGGGCTCCCCCAGGAAGACCAACCAAACATACAGTGTACTTTCCCCTGACTGTGGTCAGTGAATCAGCAAGTGTTACCGGAGTTCAGCGTGAAATGCCAGGTGCTATTTCAACAACCATATTTCACAATTCTTAGGGTAGAGTCACTCTATTAGACACTGATAAGGTTACTGGAACTCAGTTTCTGCGGTAGTCAAGTTAACATCCTCTACCATCATGCTCCTCTGAATGCAGAAGGTAGTCACAATGACCTGGTTCCCTTTTTTGGGCAAAAGGCTACTCAACCACAAGTTGCTTATTGAATTCTGTCTGGAAAATATTATTCACTGAAATCATGTCTCAATAGAACAAAGTTTAATTTTGTAATTAGCCAAGCCATCTGTTAGTGCAAGCTATCTAAATGAAAGAGGTTCTACTTCTAGAATTTTTCATGGTTAGTGATGGTTTTTGTAATGGGTGACTGAAAGAAGGAAACACTGTAAGTTTCAAATTATAGGTAGAAATAGAATGTCAACTTTCTTCTGCTTTTGATAACTTACCAAGAGAGAACAAAATAATCTCCTGAAGACTATTTCTTTTGTTTTTTGGTAAGTGGATTATTGTTCTTCCTTAAACATTGGGCTCTCTGTTCCATAAAACAAAGTTCATGTGAACATAAATGTTGCAAGCTGAGTTCTGTTCATCTTTGTTCTCATGGTAGGTGGGGGATAATAATTGCTCCCTGGGATTATAGGAATAAATACTAAATTGTCAATGAGGAATAGTGACTGGGCATGTACTTAACTCTCATTTTTCAGGTTTCAAAGTTTGCTTTGTTAATTCAGTAGAAGACTCGGTTATCTAGAACATGCTGTAATGGGGATATTTCAAGGAATCAAATGTCTAGAAACAATCATAATACTACCATGTAGGCATAATTTGGATCATGTAGGCATTAGAGTTTCTTAATTCTGTTTCAATCCTTGTGTCATTCAATCCTCATATCATTCAAAGAATCATAAAATAGAACTTCGTACGGCATCATAAAAAATCTTTTGATCAATGGTTTTGATTTTAGATTGCTGAGTCCTCAAAAACCACTTTCCATTTCTATCTTTACTATATTTGTGAAGCAGGGAGAAGCCACATGGATGGGAAGTTGTTCCCAATAATTTCATTTTCACATTTCTTTCTGCAGCTCATCAATTATGTCATCAACTTTGAGTTTATACTTGCATAGGCCCTAAGAAGGACAGGAAAAGGCTTGGTGAAATACACTGTGATTATTAGGCTTTTCTACAACATGCTGTTACAATTGATATGATATAAAAATTTAATTGCTAGATCAATATCTACTCTCATGGTGAAGTATGAAGCTTGGTCATTGACTACTTTAAATGTCTTAAAATTTCAAACTGAAATGCCACTTCTGTAGATAATTTATTTCAGTGATGAGATTAGACAGAAAAAAATAATTCTACAGCTCAAAAAAGTTGGTTTGTATGGGTTAGTTATTTCTCGATGAGATCAGTCTAGGCTTGCCACCTGCACTGCAAAAGATTGGTCCCGAGAGAGTGATGATGTCATTATGCCAACACCATCACATCTCAGTGTTGTTATGTTGAGTCAGCCAAACTTGGCTCCATATTGGTCTGGTTTCTGTTCTTCTGGCTTAAAACTACAAAATCTGGAAGTGGTATTCTTGTTGAAATGACTAATGCCTTCAGTTCTAATTACCTTAATTATCAACTACACTCTGAGAATTTTACCTGGATATTGAGTGAAAAAATCTAAGACTTGGCCTAAATAGAACACAGGAAGTTTTGTCTTATAAAAGTTACTTGGCTAATATTCTATGTATGACAACCTTTTCAGCATGCAATTTAAGCTTGAACTTCATGTATATAGTTAATCAGCTTACAGAAAATAACTGCAAGCAAAAGCAGGTGACAGATGATTAGATTACTGCGACTACTGAATATGTTACGATTTCTACCTAAAAACTTACCATTGCTTCTATTTTTATATATTTCTTTGAATTAAAGAATAATCATATTTCATATGACATGTTTTAAACATTTTTGGTTAAAATTGATTTTCTTTTTTAAAGCATAACTAAAAGCATCTACATTAAACTTGGAGTTAAGTTTTAACTAGAATATAAACTTGAATATTAGACTTGAATAATTAGCATATGAACTTATGAACTTGAGCTAAACAAAATGTTTAAAGATAGCAAAATCATTTTTCAAAAATATAGCTGCCAAACCAACAATTAAGTAATAAATTTATTCTGTATTTTTGAAATATCATTCATTATCTTAAAGGTACATATGTAAGGTTTCCATTCAGGTAGTGCGAGCATCCACATAATATAAATGAAAAAATGATATCTATCATCTTGCTATCAGAGAGGAACTGTTTTAAAAAATAGAGAATCTTCCTCAATCTGTCTCACCATCAGGGTTAATTCTTCATAAAATAAAAATAAAATGTAAGCAAAATAATAATCCTAGTCCTTAAAAAATGTTGTGTTATAAGGAAAGACCTATTTCATCTTCCTCTAAATGCCTATTTCTTTATTCCTAACATTACGATTTGTTTGTTACTATTTGTGATTGTCCAGAGTAGCCAACTTTTCCTTTAACATAAAAGGAAAAATAAACTCTGTCAATTTTCACTGCTTTGCAAAAGGAAGAAAAAATGAAGAGCAACATAGGGAAACATTATAAAACATTGCTGTAAAGGATCTCATTTTATTACTGAGTTTGCATAAAGTAGTTATATACAGCCCATTTTTATAAATTCAGCACTGATTGGGCTGGTTGTATGCTACTGGCTCCTCATTTGATATTGAGAATTTCCAATATCAAATCACTTTAGCCTACTTCTCTGCCCCCAACTTACTCTTTAATGCCCAATAATTATTATTTTAATTAAAAAGATTTAATCAAACATTACATCTTGAATTTAAATTCAAAAAATAAAATATGGTGGACCTTACCCCTAGAACTTAATACTTATACAAAGAAAAATAATAACCATTTAAACAATTTGCTTTTGGAGCTCATAAAAAAAAATCTGCTTAGATTTTTTTTTTTAAAATCTGATCAAATAATTTTAATGATTAAACTGATTAATTTTTGTCTGTTGTAAATAATCTTTTGTCCATAATGTTCAGCTGCATGCATGCATTTTAAAACACACTTCCCGAGCTTTCAACTGTCTTCCTTTCCGTTTCCTTACTACCTTTGATTCTGAGAACATCTTGAAAACAGAGGAGAAAGAAAACAGCAAAGAAATGGAATAGATACAGGCTTACTTATACAAATCAATTAAGAAAGGAACTCACAAAAGAATCGTTGTGGTTAGTTTAAGTTATTGAAGAACCTAGATCATAGAATGAATATGGCTAAAATTAATTTTTGGATCAAGATAATTTTCACACAGATAAATTTATGATAGTCTGCACGCTAGCTGTAAAGCCAGTCAACTACTAAAAGATATGTGGGGTGAAACCTGAGACTCTTTAACCAATACTTTGTCATTTTTGGTTCTGTTTTCTCTGATCCTACAGTCATGAAATGAAATGTCAAGCCATTTACTCTATTTCATGAAGCTAGGTCAATGTGCATCAGCGATGTTTTATCAAAGACTCTAACTGAAGAACAACACTGCATGATATGATATACTAGGGGTTTTCAAAACAGTTCATGGAAAAGGTAGATTATTTAAAAATTACATGTGTACCTTAACATCTTTACATCAAAACATTCACCTGAAATTTCATTTTTTCCCATTCATCTTTTAAAGTACCCTCATATCCACCCCGCAAAAAATGCATTGATGTCTATATAACAAGTATTGATGTACTCTTGTATCAAAACCTGTTAGTATGTCAAGCAACCAAATGGTTCTTTTCTCCCTGGACTGCAGGTGATTATGATTTCTTTTGCATCCAGTCAGGAGAAAACATAGTAACCCAGCCTCACATAAGACTTCAGTATAATTGGCAGAAGTATACACAGAATGAGCAAACATGTATGATATTCCGTTAGTTCTCGCATTTCCCTTGAACCAGTGACTTACAAGCCGAGAAGCTGAGGAGCACGACTCTAATCATACTGCTAGAACAAAACGGTTAACGCTCTGGTGGCAAATTCTGACAACCCCACCCAGTTTGCAAATATGGCAAAGAAACTTCTTTTTTCCAACTGTCTCTTCTCCCCATCCCACCTTCATCACATGCCACCTTCCCCAAATTAACACCTCCCACCCCAACCCCAAACATTCTGTCTCCCCCTGATAGCTTATAAACCCTGTATCAAACACCTGTGTGTGCAATTTGTTCCAAGGGAAAACATGATTCCTCTTCAGAAGCAAATAAAGCATATGGCATTTGATTTTCTAAGCACACTCTCAAATATTTTAAGCAACTTCTTGATTTTCATAATTCCGGCTTCTGAAGTGCTTCCTTTTTTTTTTACCTCAATTTCAAAATTACTAGGTATCATATGATTATTGTAAAGCTGTACATTTTGCAAATCAAACTCAATTATTATTAGCCTTTGCTTTTTCAGCAGGAGAAATAAATTCCCCACAGTGGCTATTCATTTGCCTCTCAGCATGATCCCGTCCCTAAACAAATTCGAATCTAAATCTACTTCCTCTTTACTGGTTGGAAATCAAGCATTTGATCCGAGGTGACCAAACCTGTGAGCTTTAAGGACACGAGCCAGCTAACAGTGTGTTCTCAGCACCACCCTAACCATGCAGGCACTTTCACATGCCCAGGAATAGGAGTTATTTCACAGGAAAGCTAAGCACTAGGGATTAGTAGGTAAACACTTTGGAGAAGTTAGGAACTGCAAGTACTCTCAGTAACTTGATGCACTCTGCCCTCATTCCTTCCCTCAAGCTAGAAAGACTTGGGGGAATGTTGCCAACCCATTAGCATTTCCAGAACTGAACATACTTTCTTGGAAATATTCTCTTCCCAAGATAGTACTATTGGAATGATAGCAAAAAAATATTGAGCCCAACTTTCCTGGCTCTGTACAGACTTTTGGGGAATAGGGCGGTTTCAGAGATCTGATTCTGTAGTCACCCATGACAAAAATCCAAAAGGTTATATATCTGCAGTTGAGGATTTTTTTTCCCCCTCTTTTTGGCTTATCTTTGCACAGAACCTTTGCCAGGGCTTGTGAAAGTAGAATGACAACACCGGTACCTTGTGTCACTGTATTCTTAAGGTCTCAGTTTCATCATGTTTGCAGGGTGACAGTCTCACGGTTGGACTAATGTTTTCATGACTCTACCAAGCAAGAGTGAAAGAAAGTCACAGTGGCTGTAAGGGCATCGCATTTCACTACAAGTACACTGGACACTTCTGAATTTGAAATGGAATTTTTAAAGTAATTCCTTGTTCTGGAGAAGGGCAATATACCTTTATGAGAATTTTCTATCAGATCATCTATCCTTTGTTTGCTTTACATATCAATAGTTACCATTTCTCTCTGCTTCCCTTACGAAGGTTTTGGTGCATTTGGGGGGTCTACCTTAAATAAACTATCCTAAGAGCAGATGATCAATCTATGCTTAAAGCCTT